CAGTTTGCAACATTAAGAGGGTCATTTCATTCGCCTGCACATTCTTTTATGTAAAACCACCCGTTCCCCTCTGGCCAGGATAAATGAGGCATCATGCCTGGCGGGCACCGTGGGCGCCCTCTGGAAAGTGCACCCCAAACACAGCAGGGTGGCCATGTGGGACGCTGTGTGCTGTGGAACTCGCGTGGCCCATGGCCCTGAGTCACCATGGCGGGCATTCACCAGGCCTTACCAGAGAGCCAAGAGCCTCTCCTGCGAGGCGACCAGCAGACAGACGTCAACCCCATCCTAGGAAGCGGCGCCGAGGGCATGGGGTAGCAGAGAGACATGGCAAGACTTGGGTGTGGGCTGCAGTCCCGGCTCCCCCACCACCTTGCTGTGCGATGGGGAGGCACCATGCCTGGTCTGCCCAGGACAGTCCTGTGATGCCCGCGTAGTTATTAGCGGGGCACCCTCACTCTTACCCCATCTGGACGATCCGCTCCATCTTAGCCCGACTCTGTGACCTCGGGCAAGTCGGCCGCCTTTGTGGGCCTCCGTTTCCTCATGCGCACAGGGCGGGCGTGGGCCCTGTCTTTGACCTTGGCAGGGGTTCGGCTGTGGGGGTGTCTGATAGAACCCATCTGCCAATGCCTGCAGGAGCCCACCACGAGCTCTCCTGTGGCTAATAGTTGGGTCGAGAGGCACTGCAGTGAGGACACCCCGTGGGGGCATCTCCGTGGGAGGGTGTGAGGAGGGACGTGTGGGATTTGGGCTGGTGCAGGTGATCGGGGTGTGAGGAAGTGGGGCTTTGCTCCGGACCGGGTACTGTCGGGAAGCAGGGCTAGTTCTGTGGTGCGGCACCCGATGCATCTCCTCTCGAAGGGGGAGGACCAGCCGGAGTCGAAGCTGTAAGTGACGTGGGAGCAGCGGCTCCTCCAGCCAGGACAGGGATGTGCGGTCACTGTTGCGGCTGTGACGACGCTCATGCTGCCTGTGCTGGGCCGCAGCTGCCGAGTGGCCTTGAGCATCACGGTCCCAGAGTGGCCTTGTCTGAAGCTGACGTTCTGTGAACTTGCTCACGGTCAGCAGAGCAGCAAGGCCGCTCCGAGGGCCGGCTCCTGGCGGCCAGGCTGCTCCTCCGGCCTCACTGCTGGGCGGGTCCTCCTCAGGGCGGCTGGTGACTGTGAGGAGGTGGGGAGTCAACTGTGCTGTGCATTTTAATTTGAAAAGAAGGGTCAGCAGCTTTTGAAAGTTTGAAGAGCAGGGGTGCAGGGGGCTCTGCTCTGCTCTCCTCTGACCGTCTCAAGCTCTGAGGCCCAGGTATTCCGCCTGAGATCCCACCCCCGTGCCTGCTCCCTTGGCCTTGCTGCCTTCCAGTCCCTCTAGCTGGCGGATTAATAGGGGGTGAGGGGGGTGGGGGAAGGGGAGGTCTTCCTGCAGGTCCCCAGGCGGGCGGGGTGCAGCAGAGCTGGAGGGGCAGTCTCAGTGAACCCCGGATTCCAGCTTTCAGCCCCAGGCTCCAGGTTTGTGTACCATGGCAGGAATTCCTGCTCTTTTCACCCTCCTGTGAGGTCAGAGGGACTTTGGAAGTTTCCACTCTGGGAGGAAAAGGCCCTGGAGACATGGAGGGGTGGCCCCTGCCCTTAACTGGGCAAGAGAGTGGTCCTGGGGCGGGAGCTTGGGTTCCCGCCGACTGCTTGCTGCGACCTTGGGCATGCCACAGCCCTTCTGGACCCGTCCCTGTCCCTGTCCCTGTCCCCTGCGATTAGGTGGAGGTGGACGAGATTCCACTTCTCCTGGCTGAAGCACGGTGCCAGGCAGCCCGAGCGACAGGTTTCTATAACACAGTTCTGAGGGAGGGAGGGAGGGGGGAGATAGAGAGGCGGGGGCGGGGCTCACACAGGAAAAGGATTGCAGCCACATAAAAGATCTGTGACTCCATAAAAGAAACAAAAGAGCCCTGGCCAGATGGCTTAGTTGGTTGGAGCCTTGTTCCAGACACCAAAAGGTTGCCGGTCTGATCCCCAGTCAAGGCATGCACAGGAGGCAACTGATGTTTCTCTCTCTCCTCTGATTTTTCTTTCTCTAAAATCAGTAAGAAAACATATCCTTGGGTAAGGATTAAAACAAACAAACAAAAAAACAAATGAAAACATGGTCAACCTCAGAAATAATCAAAGGAATGCAAATTAAAACCAGAAGCCAGGTTTCACCCATGGCACTGGCCACACTTTATAAAGATGACAATAACCGGTGGCAGAATGGGGAGGAGCAGGGTTCTGTCTTACATTGCTTTTGGGAATAGAAGTGATCCAAGTGTTGGGGGGTAATAAGGCAGCATTCGGTTAGTGCCCCCACATGTAGAAACTTCTCTAAGGAAACAATCAGCCAAGATGCACCTCCAGAAG